TATCACGTAAATAATTTTAATTAATCAATTAATTATATTTAAATTAATTTTTATCATTTTTTATATACATTAATTATAAAAGCTCTTGTGCCCTTAATAGAAAATACCTTGTGTTTTTAAGACATAGATTAGGAGTTCAATAAATATATTTTTTTAAAATAATTTACATAAAAAATGACAGAATTTGACTTAAATTTAATCAATCGATTTTTTTTTTTAAATAGGTTACAATTTTTAAGGAAAGAGATTCAAATCCTTAGGCATATAACTATCGGGTCACAAAATTCAAGTGCAATCAATTGACTAATTAAAATTATCTATTTAACAATAATGTTAAAATAAAAATTAACTTTTATCATATTTTATATAAATTAATTATAAAAACATCTATTTATTATACATTTAATTTATACCTAAAAACAAAGGTTAAAACAATTCAGAAGCTCTCATCCATAAAATTACTACCAAAATTTTCAAATTCTTTGACAGAATCAAACACAAAACACCAAATCAAAAACCCAAGAAACAAAAACTGACCCTACAAACTCACATGTCCATTATACCCAAAATTCATTTAGGTTGTGTTTCGCAACACATATTTGTATTTAAAGTATATATTTTAAATATATGTTTTTTAAAATTTATTATTTAAATTAGCTAAAAAAATAAATTTTAAATTCATGTACTTTTAAAATATACTATTTGCATATATTAAAAAATTGTACATTTGCAATTGAATTTCCTATTAAATTAATTCCTCTTCTGATCATTATTTAATTTGAATTCCTATTGTATCAATGAGACATTATTTATATTTTTTTAATTAAAAATATTTGAGTCATTGTTTAAATTGTCTCAAAATTCAAAACTAAATATGTTGAATAATAATAAATGAGATGAAAATTTAGGATTAAAATTTGGACCAACAACATGGCATAAATTATGTCATTTAAAATATTAAAATGTAAATCTTATATAATTTAATGATTAAGTCGTTTTATTTTTTTAAAACTCATAATATTATATGTATCAACTAATTTAATAACATAATATAAATTATATCATTGATCCCAAATTTTCACCTCAAATTTTCATTGTCCCTATTATTACTCAAATATGTTTTGCGAAAAGTAAAAATACATGTCTGTACAAAAGAACACAACATAAATTAAGAAGGAAAAACTTCGAATCACTGCATGTTCTCAATTTGCTGTAAGTAATGCTAACATTATGTCTCAAGTAGAACTATACCCTGCAGCATTCAAAATGGCCCAAAATCATTGTCAATAATGAGCTATTAAGAGCTATTAAGAGCATTAAAGACAGGTCAATTAAGGATAACAATGCTGCACCAGATAATAGAACAGATGATAAATCAAGTACTAACACATAGATGAGGTGCAAATGGAAGTGCTGTGGATTAAATTGAATAGCATGCATTTTGGTTTGAATTGATGTTTCCAATTACTGTGCATTGTGCATCTAAAGCCTCTGGGGCTTGGAAGATAGTCTAAAGGGAAATTCAACTTCATTGGTTAGGTACAAGAGTTGCAGAAGGAAGTGGAAAGGATGAATGAGGATGCAGAGAAAGCATAGATGGATGTGCTGAAAGCAGAGGAAGAGGTAGCAAATATTATGCGTTTAGACGAGCAAGCTGTTGCTTTTGAATTAGAGGCTGCAGAGTGTGTGCATGATGCAGAAATTGCATTACAGAAAGCTGAGAAGTCTCTTTCAAGTTCCAATGCTGATACTGCAAAAACATTATAGGCATAGGTATTGGAGGAAAAGACTATTCTTAAGGAGGATAAGAGTGGTCAAGGGAGTCCCATTGGAGTTGGAATAGACAAAATGATTGCGCCAAATTACCATAAAGCAAATTTAGCAGAAAATTTACCAACCGAACTTTTTGTTGCTAGGCATCTTACAAGACCAGTACACATAAAACTCAAATGCTACTCAATTCGAGAAGCAACTAGCTAGAAACAGAGAAATAGCAGAGTCAAGCTAATTGATGGGGTTAGATTTTTGAAATAGCAGAGCCAAGCTAACTGACCCAAGATAATATAACAATAAGTAATATATGCAAACATGAATTGTTCTTCACCAAAGAAACTCATTAAGATAAGTAGAACAGACTTAATATTTGGAAAAATACCAAATTGTTAGTAAGGATAGCTCTTAAGCCCTGGATGTGTTTCATCGAAGCAATATTATTTACTGGCCACCAATTATGATAGAAATTGTTATTTCTAATAAAATGCATTCAACTGGAAAAGAAGAACTAGTTGGAGTTTATTACATTAATTAAATCTTAGTTCTCAACTAAAAAGCATCCATCGGCAAAATCTCGAATTCATTCTGATATCGAAATTCACGGGTTAAAGCTTGAATTTGAAATAAACGTTTCTTACGCTTTGAAATATCCGGAGTAAAATACATCTTTGCTCATTTCCCTTTCGAACAATACCTTTTTAGAACCAATCAATAAAGACCCAAAGATAGATAGTAAACCCCCAAAACAGTGACTCCTCTACAAACCCTCCAAATTTCTTGGAGAAAAAGAAAGAACGAACTTATGGGTATTTCCTGAAAACAAGAAA